AATAATACAAATACATATGCAATTTTAACTATTTATTTCTGCTGTTCTACAAATACATTTTGGTTAATGTATGTCTACAAGTTTCGTAATAAATCCAGTTTCCTTGATCTTGATAATCACCAATAGCATTTTTTTGAATAACGACGCGAGCACTGTGGAAGAGAGAAATTTCATTTTTAACATTTTCGTAAAGTTTGCAGTAAATAAATCTGTTATTGTCGGCTTCAAAACAAAAGCAAATGACTAGACTTACGTAATAAGATAAATCTATAATTCCATTCATTTGGCCATTTTATTTTGACAAATAATTTTTATTTTTAAGATCCATTGTAAAGAACAGTTTAAAGTGATGGGAATAGTAAAACAATCATGAAGTTATATGTATTTATTACTAAGTGTACTAACCCTCCATCTCCTGCAGGTGTAACCACCATAACATTTTCTGTACAAACAGCGACGTCTGCAGTAACAAGGACGACGACAGTGCAACTTGTATCTTCCATAGTAAGGTCTTTTACGGTAACGGTAAATGACTTTTCTTTGGCATCTTCTGCATCGTCGACGGACTTAAGAAATTTAAATTAAATAAGTTATTTATCTTGTTTACTCATTTTAGTAAGTGTATTATTAGCTCTATACACACATATCAATAACTTTGGATCATTTTCCTCGTCATCTTCTTCGTCATCTTCTTCATCTTCTTCGTCTTCTTCTATGTCATGGTCTTCATCATCAACACTCTCAACGTCTTTTGTCAAATCTTAGGAAAAAATTCAAAATGATATGAAGCAAAAATAAAGCAAAGACATCTGAAGGAATTAACACATAACACAAAATTATCCTAAACGATTTCAGATTATAGCTACAATTTAATCTTCGTAAACAATGGAAGGTTTTTGTTGGTAAACGAAATAAACCCGAGTGAAGGAATTGAATAAAAATATAGGGGGAAAATATATGCTTAGAATTTTAGCTTAACGATAATTATACCTTCATCACTTTCAGGAGCATTTGCATTTTGAACCTGATCTTCTTCAGTAGGAAGAGCTAAAGGGCATCAAAAAAACATTAAAACTGTGAGCATCTACTGAAAAGTCAATGAACAATCATGTTATGAATAAATACCAAATGTGAATGCAACTCCTAAAAGTAAAAGAACCAAAAAAATTCCAGTCTTCATTTTTCTTGATAATATCACAACTTTCCTCAGTGCGCAATCTATCAGCTTTGGTCACCACAGTGGAACTGAGTGCAAACTTATTTTTTCTTTCCTTTTTATAAACTCAAATCGAGTGGTTCGCATTCTTTAAGACAGAAAATATCTCCATGGAAAAAGAGTTGTCATCATCTTAGTGTTACCTTGAGTCACCTTGATATTATTGAAAGAAAACAAATTTGAATATATGTTGATTTTCATCCTTTTTTTACAAGAGCACTTGACGTCTAATATACAGGTAGGATAACAAAACAAAGAGATGAGTATCCCTCGGACGGACATGATTCATAAGAGCACGAAATACTTTATCTAACAAACAATAAATTTACCTCTGGTCATCATAAATGACTGTCATTAAAAATGTACAGGGTCCAGAAGGTCAAGTAAAATTTAATGAAATTTTCCATCCATTATATGCTTGTAGGTGCCATGAAATACAAAAATAATTGTTAAAATATGGGCAAATTTTGCATTGAATATTTTCGTTGTAATACAGAGAACATTCTTAAAAGCAAACTGCCGAAATATCGCGTAGTCTTTACCGAAAAGTTAAAAAATTATTTATGGTTGTTATGCATGAATTACAAAGCACAAATAAATATATAATTTTCACATTCAATCATTCAAAGGATTCAAAAAAATTTGGTCATTAAATTTGCGAAGAAGTTTAATAAGGCTTAGGATATTCCAGACATGATTTAAAGCTTTCATTAACTTTTTCATTAAAAATACTCTACGAAGATCAGTTCAAACGACAGCGTTTTACACTATAATTATTAATCAAGCATTTTTGACTTTGAAACACGTCTAAAATAAAACGGAAATATCCCTTTATGAATGGGTGCAGCACGTTTTAAATTTTGGGGCAACCAACGCAGGTTAGTTGAAAAAAGTTAATTCTTCACTACATAAAGAATCTTTCATTTAATTGTTAATTAATCATACTTTCCTTTATTCATATATTGGTCGATGGGACAAAATCACCGGCTAAAAAACCTTTCATTCTCAATAAGTATTTACAAACAAACTCTATATGAAATTAATAGTTGTTTTTTTACGTCTCAGCTGGATTCATCGTTTCAGCTAGTGTAAGCCTCTGCATGTGCTTGCATTAGAACTTAGCTGCTAGGCTTGTAAGAAATTCAATATAAAATACCTCTTATATCAATTGAACTGCTAAAGTGTTTAATGTATCGTCACAAAAAAAACAACGGCAGCTTTATATATTACATTAGATCAGTCATCTTTTTAACTAGATCTGAATTTTTTTGAGATCTCAAGAAGATCGACAGACATTTTTGTTACATTTGTGATTTAATCTCTAACAATTAAATTTAAGTGTTGTAAAGTTTCAATAAATCTCTCCGTTGACTCCATAAAAATGGAAGCTTTTTAATAATAAAGACAAATGCTTTTCAGTTATTTAGCTATGATTTTAGAACGGAGAAAACATGTTCACGAATTTTTAAAACTATCGATGTATAGTTGAGTTGATGAATAATATTCCAGCATTGATCGCTTGCATTGTCCATTACTTTAAAATCTTTTTCGTTATCACTCGTATGTGTGACCATGCAATGATCTACATGATAAATATAACCACTGAAGTGTTGAGTGTTTTAAGAAGAGATATTCTCTTTATGTACTGTGGAGAGTGAGCAAGACTGGTTTTCAGGCAAATTTGTTTGATTAATCATATGATGCATGTATTTTGAAATATGGCCAGAAGTTTGAAATCATGTTGCAAAATATACGGCTTTTGGTTATCAATGGTGCTTCAGTTTTATTTGATCAAGACAAAGATGATCTATTGTATAGCTGCAGTTCTTTAGTTGAACGCCTGAACGCACAGTTTTCTCTAGAACAGGTCTTGTAGAATTTATGGAGCCATTTTAGAAAGAAATCCTCTTTAAGCTATCGAAGAAATTTTGTCTGCTGAATGACACAGTTTTGCTAAGTGAAATAATTAAGGATTATACATAAAATATACTACACACATTTTGCAACTAAAACCATGGTTTATGTTCATTATAGACGCTAAAATCCTTTTAAGATATTTTAGGGTATCCGGGTGATCGAGAAGTGTTACAATGCGCAAAATATCTTGAACAGTAAAGACTAATAATATAGCGTTACATCAGATCCTGCATAACAAATGTATTGAGATCTATTGAGATATTTGAGAGTATCCGTGGAAAATAACGATGCATTAAAATCTCAAACAATAAATATGAGTTACATCATGTCTTACATAACAAAAATTGTCAGCAGCTAAAAATTTGCATTACGATGATTGAAAGTTATAAATCTCTTACTCTGTTACTATCACATTCTACACTCTAATTTCATTAACATTGTAACATTTGTAACATTGATGAAAACGCATGCATAGAAACTTGTGAAAAGCCAAAAAATGAGTTTTATTTTCTTTCTAAAGTTTGAATAATCCTAAAGAGCTTTGCGCCTTCAAAAATTTTAACTTCAATATTTAGAAGATTAGCATAGAAATATTCAAGAATCAACTTTTTGATCTTTCACAAACTCAGTACTTCGCAAGAGTTTCTCACTTTTTTCAATTGATTCCGAATACCAATATAAATGTATTATAACATTCAATCAGTTGCGTCTCTTCACAATTTATATGGTATATGTCATATATCTTCAAGCCTTATGTGATATGTAATCATCGCACTACTTATCTACAATTTCTTTTGCTTGAAGTCCGTCTTTCCGTTTCTAACACCTCACGTGTTGTAAATATATCACGTGTATGTGAAGTATTGTACATCAGTCTTTATAAATATTGCTTTGTAATAAAGTCGAAAATTGGCAGTTTCTACCGGCGTCGGTCTTGGGTTCAATCGTATTTTGCTTCTCATTGATGTCTTGTTGTTTTTTTGAATTCGTTTTTTATTTAGTTCATTGTTGTATGAAATTACTGTAAACCACATCTCTAATCACACCAAACTCGTCAATAGCGAATAAAATTAGTGAGCAAGTTTTTCAGTAGAAGCCCGATAGCTCAAACTTCACGCTTACACCAAGTAAATTCATTTTCCCCTGAAAATATTCATAGTGCTATGTAACGCCAACATATTTCACTAAAACATATGGATGACTGTTCTCAAGACAATATATTCAGTCATATTTGGAATTAACAAGCTACATCTATTTCACTGAAGAATAGCATTTTTTCAGAATAGCATTACTTACGTCGGATGCCCCAAAATTACTTTCTAGTCCAAGCACTTCGACTTACATATGCACGACTTTTGAGACTCGTACATATATATTGAAGATAAAACTACACATTTTTTAGACACTTTGGTTTCGAAAAAGTTCTCTGGGCTACCAAGAAAATATTCAATACAAAATTCGTCAATGTATACCTAAAACAAGATTTAGCAATATTTTCTTGACCTTAATTATTGCTTACAATTTTAAATTTGGGTCATATATGATGACAAGAGTTCAGTTTATTGTTTGTAAGTTAATTATTTCTTGCCCATATGAATCATGTCCGTCCGAGGGATACTCATCTCTTTGTCTTGTTATCCTACATGTAACTTAGACGTCAAGTGCTCTTGTAAAAAAAGGATGAAAATCAACATACATTCAAATTTGTTTTCTTTCAATAATATCAAGGTGACTCAAGGTAACACTAAGATGATGACATTTCTTTTTCCATGGAGATTTTTTTTTGTCTTAAAGAATGCAAACCACTTGATTTGAGTTTATAAAAAGGAAAGAAAAAAATAAGTTTGCACTCAGTTCCACTGTGGTGACAAAAGTTGATTCATTGCGCACCGAGGAAAGTTGTGATATTATCAAGAAAAATGAAGACTGGAATTTTTTTGGCTCTTTTAGTTTTAGGAGTTGCATTCACATTTGGTATTTATTCATAACATGATTGTTCATTAACTTTACAGTAGATGCTACTGTTTTAATATTTTTATGATGCATTTAGCTCTTCCCACTGAAGAAGACCAGGTTCAAAATGCAAATGCTCTTGAAAGCGATGAAAATGCAAAGATTCCTGAAAGCGATGAAGGTATAAATATCGTTAAATTAATATTCTAGGCTTGTATATTTTATTTCCCTTTATTTTCTTCAGTTCTCTTACTTGTACAATTGGCTTATTTCGTTTACCAACAAAAACCTTACATTGTTCACGAAGATTAAATTTTAACTATATTCTGAAATTGTTAAGCATAATTTTGTGTTATGTGTTAGTTGTTTCAGTTGTCTGTATAATTTGTATAAACGTTAACTCAGTTTTTAAAGACGCAAATTTTGCTTTATTTTTGCTTCATATTATTTTGAATTTTTCCTAAGATTTGACAAAAGATGTCGAGAGTGTTGATGATGAAGATCATGACATAGAAGAAGACGAAGAAGATGAAGAAGATGACGAAGAAGATGACGAAGAAAATGATCCAAAGTTATTGATATGTGTGTATAGAGCTAATAATACACTTAATAAAATGAGTAAACAAGATAAATAACCTATTTAATTTAAATTCTTAAGTCCGTCGTCGATGCAGAAGATGCCAAAGAAAAGTCATTTACCGTTACCGTAAAAGACCTTACTATGGAAGATACAAGTTGCACTGTCGTCGTCCTTGTTACTGCAGACGTCGCTGTTTGTACAGAAAATGTTATGGTGGTTACACCTGCAAGAGATGGAGGGTTAGTACACTTTATAGTAAATACATATGACTTCATGATTGTTTAACTATTCCCAACACTTTAAACTGTTCTCTACAATGGATCTTAAAAATAAAAATTATTTGTCAAAATAATATTGCCAAATGAATGGAATTATGGACTTATCTAATTATGTAACTCTAATCCTTTGTTTTTGTTTTGAAGCTGACAGTAACAGATTTATTTACTGCAAGCTTTACAAAAATGCTAAAAATCAGATTTCTCTCTTCCACAGTGCTCGCGTCGTTATTCAAAAAAATGCTATTGGTGATTATCAAGATCAAGGAAACCGGATTTATTAAGAAACTTGTAGACATACATTAACCAAAATGTATTTGTAGAACAGCAGAAATAAATAGTTAAAATTGCATATGCATTTGTATTATTGTTTTGAAATCATCTTTGAAAGCGATCAAACAAACTTCTAAATGAGCAAAAAATATTAATGGCTTAGGGTTAATATATAAATTTAAACTATGGGGTGATGTGGATAAATTGGGGATATTTGTCATACGTAAATCTTCAACGTGATATTTTCTGCCAAATATCTCAGTAACTTTACGTTATTATATGTGTGTGGAACAAGAGTCACATCACCATGTCTACAAACACGTTATTTTTCTCTGCATTGCCGCATATTTTTACTCATTTTCCACAAATGAGTAACATTGATCTGAATAATAACGTGAATCGTTCGTTTTTATTTAATCATGATCGAGTTTTCCAATCTGCTAGTCTTAATGAAGATGATTGTTTTTATCAATGCAAATTTCTAAAATTGCTGCGACATAAATGAAACAAAAATTAAGCCATCAAAATTTATTGAATAATACGTGCGATGGATATACAGGTACAATGATGATATATTTTATGATTGTAGCCTTCGTGGGAACTACCTTCGCTATAGGTAACATATATTAAACGTACTTTTATGAACTGCCTGCGTTTTTCGTGTTTTGATGATAGTTATCCAGGTCGATGCTAAAGTAAAACTCATTGCAAAATATGAGTGTATTGTAAACGTTGCATTTCTACGAATCAATAAAAAGTATTTCGAAGGTTTTTAGTTTCATTTTCCTTTTTACGCAATGTATCAGTGTTTTGATGAAATTTTGTCACCTAATAAAGTTTTAATTGGATTTTCATTACCCTAAAATATACGAGTGAAGTGATCATTTTTCAGTGTTAAATAATGACTATGCATTAGCACAACTAAAAATACCAAGAGTGGTACAGTTTATCTTTAAAGCTTTTGATCTTTTACTTATTCCGGCAAAATAATGATTTTGTATTTAGATCGTCCTTGCCAATCATGTCGACGAATGATGTGAAGACTTGCCCCTGGTCTTAAGCTTTACTGCATTTCTAGATGCAAATGCAAAAGCCAATACAATGGACGATTCAGATCTGTTTATACACGCAAAATACAGGTTACTTTTCTACACCTAACTCATTCCAAACTAAATTCACGTCTCCCTTCTTAGATTAATAAAATATATAGACCTGCTATCAATATTTGTAATCTTTTTTCCAAACTCAAATTTTCCTACACGGTGTGTAAACTCCTATATACACTATACTTTCTTGATTCTACTTACGGTGCAGACCACCATAAAAAAATTATAATTCTTATCATTCTCCAATTAGAATTTTATTAACTTCTTAATTCATATAATTTTATAAATCTTTTCCTCTTGCGACTACATATAATCTTCACTATTTTTTATGGAAACTTAAAATAGTGTAATTTAATTCGGATGCCTGATAACATGAAGTTAATTATTTCACATGACAGTAATGCGCTAGTAGCATTTCTTGAGCCATTTTTCAAAATGCTTGGTTTTGCAATTTGCATCAAGGAGCAATTTCCTTTTTGGAAATCAAGCAGCAATTAATATTAAAAAAAAAAGTATGAAAAAGTTGCAAGGTGAATTCTTAATGTACATTATATTTTATGACAGTCTTTACTCAAATATTTCTTCATACAACGCCAAATTTGTCCAGAAAAAAAGAAATCACGCTGATCAGTGGGGAAAAGGAACATATGCACTTAGTAACGATAAAATTGCTAAACTTAAGTCATGTCATTATTTTCTCGAATTTATTTTTACATATTAGATTAGAATTGCATATCTTGGAATTGCAATAACAACAAACTGTCTGAATAGCAAGGTGAAACACAAAACTGAAAGGATTCATTTGAAAATTACGTGCAATTTGACTCCAATATTTTGATTTGAACATATCAAATCACGTCACGTGTTAAAGATTTTGTTCAATTCTCAATTCTTGTATTTCTTGTACAACGAAGAGGACAAAGTCCACGGTTATCGTAATTTGCTTTTAAGATTTATGTCATTCAGGCTGTAAAATTCGTGCTAATTTTCAATATTTCATATACAAGTTCCAACCTAAAATGAGCAGTATAGTCAGAAATTTAAATTGTATTGTGGACTATATTTTAAGACATGTTCTAAAGAAATTGATTGCTTATGTCCTTATTTACGTATTGGCAATACTGTATGGAGTTTTGGTGCTTGTTCGCGTACTGTTGAAAGTTCTCCGTGAAGGCACACAGATTTTGAAAACTTCGCCCCCAATGGAAAACGGTAGACTTCTTTTCTTTATCACATATATGTTGTATTTAGTATATATCACAAGTAACTATTTCTTGTTTAAATAATTAATGTACATCTTATCTTTGCAATGGATTTTTATGACCACAAAATTCAAAAGGATCTAGATTTCTTATCTTTCTTAGGTGGAAACAGAAATGACAATGTAATTGTTGAGTCTCTTTTTGCTTGCAACATGATTATCACTGCATTGATAGACTTTGTACCTTGACAGTCTTTAGCAACACAATTTTGAAGTGAAATTATTGTAACATATTACTTTAATTGTATGCTATGTATCTTTAGCTCCTGCATGCCTACATGATGAAAGTGTTGGAATTCACAATTATATCACCACTAAATCTAGTATGAACTTTCATTATGTGGCTAATGGAGAAGTAGGGCAACCCTTGATGTTACTTCTTCATGGCTTTCCTGAGGTAAGGCAAATATTATCATTTTACTGCTATAGATTGAGAAACAACCCAGTTATAGTTCACTTATTTTTCTGAATTAGTTTTGGTATTCATGGCGCTTTCAGTTAAGGGAATTTTCAAATGATTATCGAGTTGTTGCTGTAGACATGCGGTAAATTAGCAAATTTACAAAATGTATATTCTACTGTTGAATTATTTACATGAGAAATGACTTAAGATAGATTGAAAGATATTGTTGAAAAAAGTCAATGAATTCAATCACTGATTTTTAACATTCTGTTACAATAGCCAACATTCAATTTTTTAGAGGTTATGGGCTGAGCTATAAACCAAGATCATCTTCAAAGTATAATTTGTTCTATCTTGTTCAAGACATCGAAGAAATAGTAAGAAAAATTATTTGTTTAAATTACATCTACAGTTTGTGTAACTATATATTTATTGAAATCATTTAAATACATTATCACTTTAAAACTTCCTGTCATACTATCTCATTATATTGTACCAATGATTACATGTCAATTTAATACATTGAAGTGCATTTTGTATTTCTAAAGTTCTGTACATTTTGGTACACTTGAGGATATTGTGTTTGTATAAAGTATTTTACAACATTGCATTTTTGTCTGTTTGTTTTAGGTTGAAGCACTTGGTTATACATCATGTACATTAGTTGGACATGATTTCGGAGGAATGATTGCATGGTATAATATTTAAAATAATTTCTTCTATGTTTGATAGTCTTTCAATTTTTGATTTTTTTTTGGACTCAAAAACTTAATATTTCATTTAAACGTCAGTATTTCCAAGCGGTATTAATGCTCATTTGACTTTGTGTCTGATTTTAGTGAATCAGCATGGAGCATATAAATTTTTTCTAATACTAACATCAGTAACATCATTAGCATAATTTTATAAAATATAACAATTATGCCTCATAGATTTTGCATTACACCATAACTTTACAAATTACAACTCTTTAAAATTTTCTAAATTTTGGCATTTCTAGTGCTGTTGCTCATCGTTCTCCTAAAATGGTTGAAAAACTTGTCATTCTCAATGCTCCTCATCCCAAGTAAGTCAATGAACTTGTCATTTCTTGAACACATATATCCACATGATTTTTTTGATGGTTCAATTCGGTCCTATACTCAGTGGTCCTTCTAAAGAACGCCCGTCAATGCTCGGAGAAATTCGTTGAAAGCTCGGGTGTCGAGAATAATATCAAAAAATGTCTGGAGTGAAATCATGTTGTAGTAATAAGCAGGAAGAAAAATGAAGCTAATAATAAGAGGAAAAATCATTAGTACTTTGTCCTTGTTCTTATATTTTCTACTTTCTTTTTTGTCCAATTTTTTCTTGGTAATTGTACATTTAAATATCTATCCGTCGAAATCACTTGTTTGTTTTTGCTAGTAATCCAGGCATAAGCTTTTTGAAAAGTTGGTATTTCTCTTTCTCCTTTTTTTTCTTCCAATGCATGCTTGAAATTTTGCTCATTCATGAGGTCAGCTCGTGGATTCTTTTAGTTTATGTCGTGCTCTTTTGCAATCACTTTCTGGCAGCTTCACGATTCGATAATGTTTGTCAATCAAACGCAGATAGTTTCATTGTCTTCCAGTTTGATGATAATTTCATTATATGATTTACATAATAGACTTGTAATAACTATTTTTCCAGTAAATTGGTATCCACTTATTGTCTTGTCTGGCTCCTATAAGAAATAATTTTGCTTCCACTTCATTAAAATAATCAGTGAATAACGAGCAGCGCTCATAAAAATCCTAGTTATCGTTGCGATAAATCAACCCATCCTATACTTATTACTAGTATCACGATTTATCTCCGAAAATTCTCTATGAACACCCAGGTATTCTTGGGCATTCCTGCAGTAGACAACGCGTTTTTGCGATACTAGTGATTTCTCATCACTATAGAATTGATTTTCATCAAATCAGTAAATGTATTATTTAAAAATGCAGACTTTTTATTGTACTAGTGTTTTCTCTGCTTACTATACTAACATGATTTCACTGTAGGCATTCTTTCTTGACACCCGGGCATTTAAGGAATTTCTTCTGGCATTCCTGGACGTTCTTTATTAGTACCCAATTTAATTATGATTTCGTCAGTAAAAACATTGCTATTAATATATAAAAATTGGTGGTAGCAATATAAGTTTTTCTTCTGTAAATTTAGTATTAATTGGCGGGACTACAGCTAATTGCATATTACTTAAGAGATTGTAAGATAATGTAATGATGTAGGTTGAATTAATTATTTTGTTTTAATGTGTGTGTTCTACTTTTCATTTTTTTAAAGAATATTTACTGATTTTCTTTTTTCTGATTGGAGGCAATTCCTAATGTCCTGGGTACGTTGAACAATTACATGCAGTTGTGTCATGTATCAAATTTTATATTTTTTTTGTGTCAAATTTTCTAAAATTTACTATATTGCAGGAGTATGCAACTTACTAATTTTTTAGGTACATACAGTATGTATCGAAAAGGTTTAGTTTTTGAAAAAGTTTAGTTTTTGAAAAAGTTCTCTAAAATAAGACGCGCGCGGAATAAGCAAAAATGTTTTGTGATTTTTTGTACTTTAATCAGTGAACTTGGAATTTTCGCGTTTTTGCATTTCAAACCTGGTTTTAGTATGTACATCGTTAGCTTTCTGCATTGTCATACATCTGCATAAATTAAAGTATGGAATTTGCCAGTCAGTTCCCAAAGGTAAAGTCATTGGATAAAGTGTAAGAATTTAGTTAGGTATCCGGTTAGGTAGTTTAATGTAACGAGCTCCTTTTTGAATAGCCATAGCTATACCACAGGTCTGTTGTGTCTATTGAAGGTCTTGTTTCAAACCTTTAACATGGCTGATTTTAAACATATCAATGTTGGATGCAAAATGGTGTTACCACTGGTGTGTTACCTGTAACAGAGAACGTTTTAGTAATTAAAATCACTAAACGTTTCTGAATATTCCCAGCGCATCTTATTTCAGAGAATTTCTTCCAAGAGTTTACTTTTTTAATACATCCTGTATTAAATAGGCATGTGTTTGTATGATATTTGCTCTACACCAGGGAACTATATCCTAAATCATTGAGATGATTGAAGTCATTGTTGTAGTTCATTCAGCCTGTCGATGAGTCATGTGACTAAAATCACATATTTGCATGTCCACCACCACCAGCCCTTCCCTCCCCACCTGCAAAGTGACTGTTAAAAGGTTGACCGTAATAGTTGTTATATTTTTTCTAGTACATATTTTTCTTCCAACTTCCTTATTTTCCTGAATTATATTTGTCAATGGGTGATTATCGTAACATTGAAGATGCTTACCTTGGAACATATTATGTAAGTAAGATCTCTCGTTCAACACTATATACTTACTTATACTTCACTGATACGAAAAAAGATTTTTTTCAACTTTTTATTTTTTTCTAGTTTTGCGATGTTTTTTTTATTGTTATTTTAGCACATTACGTTTTCTTATATGATATTTCAGGGATTTGGCAATAAGGCAAACGTGAATGACATGGACTTCGCAGCGTTTAAATTTGCAATTTCTCAGCCTGGTGCTCTTACTGCAGCCATTAATTATTACAGGAACTTTTTTTCTTTATGCCTAAATGATGGATGGTTACAAGGTCAAAAACTCATTACTTCACCAACATTAATTGTTTGGGTAAGATATATACACCGATTGATTTTTTTTGTGTATTGTTTTTGTTGAATTCCGGAAGTTCAAGTGTTTTTACAAATTGATATTGGTTGAACAATCTTAGGAACTACCAAACCATCAAAGAATGTGCTTATGAAAGGACAATTTAGTATTTCAATTATATATTTATTAAAAAATAGCTTTTGAAATCACTGTAGACTTTAACTGTTTATGCACCTCTTTGTCCTTAAAAGAAAAAAAGCATTTTAATGCTTCATCAACACAACCAACCAACCAAGTGACGTTATTTTTGCTATGTGAACTTGTGCTCCCTAGAGTTAACAGACTCACTAATTATTGGATGAGGTTGAGCATGATATCAAGAACTATACAGACCGAGGTCAATGTTATCTGCCGAAATGAAGCTGAATAATTCTTGATATCATGCGATAAACGAATTCCATAATTGTTTTATTATTCACCTCAGTTAACTGAAATATTATTAAAACTGATAAATGTAAAACATTTTCAAACCTTCGCTAATTTGTCGCTGAAACAAAACGGTGATAAACATCGTTGTTTTGATTTTTTTCAAAACCGACTTTCAATGGCGTCCATATTTGTAGAAACTATTATCTGTAGGTATGACGTCATACCTACAGATATCGAGAATTATCTGCAGGTAGTTGACCAATCACAGCCGAGAATGCCCACATAGTGAATAATAATAAATTTTTATCACGTTTCTTGAACTAGGGTGATCGAGATCTGTCTCTCAGAAAAAACTGTTTGGAATCCATACCAAGTTTTGTTGAGACATCTACCATAAGGTAAACAATTGTTAAAGATCGTTTGTCATCAAAATGAGATACTGTCAAGCATTGTATTGAAAAGAAAAATGTTTTACAAAATGTTTTACTCATAGGGCTATAGGGTTAAGATTAGGGATATCGTTATTGTTATGGTTATACTTACGCAATCGATTGTATTGATTTAGAAAATATTTACCAACAGGTTTTTATGTAGAGATTTTAGTTAAGTTAGTCATACATTTTGAAATACGAATTTCATATAAATCTATGTTTTTTATACAGATTTGTTGGCGGAGCCAGTCATTGGGTTCAACAAGACGAACCGCAAATTGTCAACGATTTCATTCGAGAATTTTTGCAGTCTAATTAAGTGTTGAAATATGAAAAAAATTCTAAAGAAATTAATTGTATTGAATATGTTTTATTTCATAGAACATTTAATTTGTTACATGAAATAACGACTTTTTCACGTGATTAAACGATTGCATGATTACATGATTACATGAAATAACAACTATTTTTACAAACTATAGTCTTTGGTGTTAAAATATGTGAAACTGCGTGAACTATAGTGTTTTGTGTCATAATGCGTGAACTATAGTCTTTGGCATGAAAATGGCTTTAAAATGCGTGAACTAGTCTTTGTTGTTAAAATACGTGAAAATAGTCTTTGAAGACTATAGTTCACGCATTTTCACAAATTTTTATGCAAAAAATACAATTTAATCATTTTCACATTTTCATGCAAAGACTATAAATCACGCATTCTCACACGTTTTTCTGCACAAAATATAATTTAAACTTGTTTTTACATTTTCATGGAAAGACTAACATTCACGCATTTTCACACTTAAATGTTATCTTTGCAGAAACTATTATAACAAATTACATAATCCCTTTTTTCCATGAAGCCCATGCATGCTTTCGTTTATGATGAAAGAGTCATATTGCATAAGGGGGCTCTCGTTCATCACGAGAGAGTTATGAGAAAGTTATATTGTTAAAGGTAATAAGTAAAAAACGTATAAACATGCTTAGAGTTTGTTTAAATTATAATTCAAAAAGGCAGAAATTGTTTGAACCTTTACAGTATCCTTGGATGTTCTAGTTTCTTTTATAAGAACAATTCTTGTAAAGAAAGAAGACAAATTTTGAAAACAAAAAATCACGTTTTCTGTTGATGCCTCCCTATACCCCGGGATAGTTAGCACTAGAGCGTCCTATGTTAACTAAGGGAACCACATAATCCTTATTTGTTTGCCATGAAGCATATGGATGGTTTGCTCGTGATACATGAGAAACAGTAAATGGGAGAGTTAAATCACAAAGATATAAAGCGATAAAAATGGTATAAAACATGTTTAAGGTTGTCTTTAATTATAAGTGTTAGATAAAGACAGGGTCATAAGAAGTTAATTGAAACATTGCTTGGTTTTTTTTATGAGAGGAAAACAAAAAGACAAAATTCGAAAGCAAAAACCCGTTTTCGGTCCATGCTTCCCGATACCTCCTTAAGCTCAAGGCACTAGAACGCCGCATGTTAACGTTTCGGTAGGAGATTTCGGCCCCTCCACGCTATCCTACTTGGGAGATGCCAATAGCAAGCTTCCGCCCATCAGACCCTGAGATCACCTGCGATAGGTTTTGCTCAGGGTACGCAGGGAGAGTGCGGTCGCCACCGAAGTGTGGGCCCTAAGCCACTGCATACTATATCGCACCCAGCTTCCACTGCTAGTTGACATCTACTATATGAAGTTTTAGCTTTATATATATATACCAAAATTTAAAGGCGTACGAAAGTTGTGGGATGATTGTTATCGTTACTGCGCATGCGCAGAAGATTTCTTTGATAATTTGCGACTAAGTGAGTTAATTGACACAAATGTAGTGCAAATACGTATAGTTGGTCGTTTTCATGACTATGAACAACTACTCGAGTGGACTGCGCATGCTCGAGCGCATGCGCAGATGATTTCTCTATTAAATTGTTACTAAGCATGCTATTTACTTCAAAATTGCTGCTAGTAGATGCAGTTGGTCGTTGCTACGACCATGAACTTGGGTATCTGGTCAAGTTGATTGCGCATGCTCAAGCAGACTGCGCATGCGCAATTAATTTGTGTTAAAACTTGTGACTGAACGAGCTAATTACTCCAAAATCGGTACTAGTACATTCAGTTGGTCGTTACCATGAGCTTGGAGAGTTTGTGGTGTTGACAACATATACTCAGATTCTCAATTAATTTGTGACAGAGCGAGCTCTGAAATTGGTGATTGTAAATGCGCTGAGCAAGTTTTCAATCATATATTTTTGGAATGCTTTTTGTCCTCTTAAGCTAGTTTTGACAAATGCATATGAGAGTCATCAACACTTTGCTACGGCACTCGTAATATCCGTGACAACGTTAAAAATGTTTTTTTATTTTTCTCTATAACTTAATGCCTGTATATTGCATGTCATATTCAAGCTTTCCTTTGATTTGACGGAAAATGGTTTTTATTCACTCTTACACCTTCTGCCTTTATAATTATTCGATCTGTATTTCGAAAATAATATTTACAAATGCCCGAAGAGAATCTTTTTATTTTATTGGCTCTCTTCTACGAAAACAATACTATGTCCGACCATTTGATTGCACGAATTTTGTAATTTGATCACGTTTTTTTGACACGTGTGTTTACAATCGGAAATATGGATTGCTTAATTGTACCTAGTTGCTTAGACTAATTGGATCCATTGTTATCCTGTAATGTATACCCCTGTGAAACACCAATGACCATACGTATTGTGTCTTTTATAACCTCTATTCTTGTTCTCCACTTCATCATGTATCCATATTTCTTCTATTTTAGGTCTCAGCTCAACACAACCCTTGTTTGAAGTTCCTAAAACATTGATCTACCCAAGAAAGATCTCTGGTGGTAAAATGTTAGGTATGGCTAGTGGTTGGTCATCGTCATTTGAGCCTTGTGACACCAGTTCAGTTGACGTTAATTGTCCTGAAGACGTTGAGGAGGTTGCTTGTAAAGCGTCGCCCAAACCAGAATTTAGTTTTCATGGTATGCTAACGGATTACGCGAACGTTGTTAGCAAGAAGTTCACATCAAATATTTATGGTCTCGTTCCATCGTCTTCTGAGAAGGTTTCATGTTCATCCTGTATCTTTCACCAATGTTACAAATGCTTAGTTTTTTTATGTTTTTTGAAATTGTCGTTTTAATGACTATTATTTTAGAGCATAGACATTGAGGAATCTAGAGGTAGTACAGGTATTTTTAACATTTTTTTTGTTGAAAAGTCTCTAGTTTCAATTCTTCAAAATTTCTCATCTTAATTTTCATCTTTAGTTTAGAATCCTTTCGATACGAGAAATGCTCGGGATTTGTGGTACTTTATACGAAATATTGAATTTAAGTTTTATAGCTTTAATAACTCTTATCTGTCCATCGTAACTTTGCTATAATTCTATGGATAAATTATGTTTTCATACTTAATACATTATTGGTGATCCTACTTCACCTGAAGATGTTCAGCAAGAACGACGTATGAAGTTTTATTCGTTAATTAACAATATATCCCGGGAAAAAGGGTTAGATGGCCAAAATTATAAATGTAATGGTTGTTCCAGACCATTTGGAATGGGTATAATCAATCAATTCTCGACTTGTTATTTCCATAATAACTCAAATATATTTATTTTCAAATATCTTAGTTTTTTAAATCTTATCTTTGTAGAAACTATTATAACAAAGCACATAATCTCTTTTTTCCATGAAGCCCATGGATGCTGTCGTTCATGATGAAAGAGTCATATTGTTTAAGGAGGCTCGCGTTCATCACGAGAGAGTTATGAGAAAGTTACATTGTAAAAGGTAAAAAGTAAAAAACGTATAAACATGCTTAGAGTTTGTTTAAATTATAATTCAAAAAGGCAGGAGTTGTTTGAATCTTTCAAGTATAACTGGACATTCTAGTTTCTTTTATGAGAAGAATTCTTGAGTTATATTCTTGAAAAATTCGTGAGTTATAGTCTTTTGGTGCAAATGCGTAAGCTATAGTATTTTGCATGAAAATTCGTAATATATTGTCTTTCACATGAAAATGCGTGAATTATAGTCTCTTGGTGAAAATGAGTGAATTATAGTCTTTTGCATGAAAATTTGTGAATTATAGTCTTTTGGTGAAAATACGTGAATTATAGTCTTTTGCATGAAAATATGTGAATTATAGTGTTTTGCATGAAAATTCGTGAATTATAGTCTTTTGGTGAAAATACATGAATTATAGTCTTTTGCATGAAAATTCGTGAATTATAGTCTTTTGGTGAAAATACGTGAATTATAGTCTTTTGCATGAAAATTCGTGAATTATAGTCTTTTGCATAAAAATTCGTGAATTATAGTCTTTTGCATGAAAATTCGTGAATTATAGTCTTTTACATGAAAAATCGTGAATTATAATCTTTTGCATGAAAAATCGTGAATTATAGTCTTTACATGAACAATCATGAATTATAGTCTTTTACATGAAAAATCGTGAATCATAGTCATTTACATGAAAAAAGTGTAAATTATAGTCTTTTGTGAAAAATTGTGAAAATTTGTGAAAATGCGTGAATTATAGTCTTTTTGTGAATAATTGTGAAAATTTGTGAAAATGCGTGAATTATAGTCTTTTTGTGAAAAATTGTGAAAATTTGTGAAAATGCGTGAATAATAATCTTTTTGTGAAAAATTGTGAAAATTTGTGAAATTGACTGAATTATAGTCTTTTTGTGAAAATTTGTTTAAATGCGTGAATTATAGTCTTTGTGTTAAACATTGTGAAAATGCGTGAATTATAGTCTTTTTGTGAAAAATTGTGAAAAATTGTGAAAATGCGTGAATTATAGTCTTTGTATGAAAAATTGTGAAAATGCGTGAATTATAGTCTTTTTGTGAAAAATTGTGAAAATTTGTGAAAATGCGTGAATCTTTTTGTGAAAAATTGTGAAAATTTGTGAAATTGACTGAATTATAGTCTTTGTGTTAAACATTGTGAAAATGCGTGAATTATTGTCTTTTTGTGAATAATTGTGAAAATGCGTGAATTATAGTCTTTTTGCAAAATTGTGAAAATTTGTGAAAATGCGTGAATTATAATCTATGTATGAAAAATTGCAAAAATTTGTGAAAATGCGTGAATTATAGTCTTTGTATGAAAAATGTGAAAATTTGTGAAAATGCGTGAATTATAGTCTTTGTATGAAAAATTGTGAAAATTTGTGAAAATGCGTGAATTATAGTCTTTGTATGAAAAATTGTGAAAATTTGTGAAAATGCGTGAATTATAGTCTTTTGTGTTAAATTGTGAAAATGCGTGAATTATAGTCTTTTGTGAAAAATGTGAAAATTTGTGAAAATGCGTGAATTATAGTCTTTTGTGAAAATTGTGAAAATTTGAAAATGCGTGAATTATAGTCTTTGTATGAAAAATTGTGAAAATTTGTGAAAATGCGTGAATTATAGTCTTTTGTGAAAAATTGTGAAAAT